GGAATAGTTGAGTTTATGCAGCTGCTCATGAGCTAATTATCTGCAATCATTTCTGATTACTTAATAGGCCATGGCAGGATGTGTGTTTGCTGCTATGTTGAGTTTACACATTAGACTCTAATGTGCTGATATGGTTAATTGTTGTGCTCACTGCTGCCTGCTAATAGGCCATTCCTGAAAATGAGACCATATCTCAACGGAACTTGCTTGTTTATTTTAAATAAGTAATAACTACAAATTCAGATCCTAGACCCAGTGTTCACCATTTAAGAATGCACTTTTTAATTCTATATCATTTCTGGTGCATTTAAATTATTCAAGTTTGAGAAAATGAGTTATTAAAGTAATGAGTCAATAACCTACTCAAATACATAGATTTAACATTTTTCCTGGTCTGTTCAGCTTCCTAAATTGTTTTCTGCCACTGATAGCAAAATAAATTATTTTAAATTGGTGCCAGAACACACTGAATGTAATAACATCATGACGAGAAAAACAAATGGGTGTTAAAAGCAGACATGTATTTAGTAATGTGTAAGATAAGATGTCTATGCTAGTGGTTGGGAGTAAGACAGATACGTTAATATAAAAGGTAGATATGGAATTGTAAATTGGACCATTAGTTTTGTATTTCTTGATAGCATTTAGTCCAAAAAGCTTGTATGTTGTGTAGAAAAATTTAGAAGGCTATTTTTTTTGTTGATTGCATATTTGTATTTCTGATTACAAATGGTTATAAAGAACCCATACAGATACTTCAGATATTACCTTCATGCTTTTTTTTTTTTTTTTTTTTTGGTTGTAGGGCTTGAACTCTGGGCCTGGGAGCTGTCCCTCAGCTCTTCAACTCAAGGCTAGCATTCTACCACTTAAGCCACAGCACCACTTCTGTTCTTCTGGTGGTGAATTGGAGATAAGAGTCTCATGGACTCTCCTGCCTGGGCTGGCTTTGAACCGCAATCCTCAGATCTTGGCCTCCTGAGTAGCTGGGATTACAGGCGTGAGCCACTGGAGCCCAGCTATCCTGCCCTTTTTTTAATTCACAAGCGAACTTGTTTTTATCCAACAGCACCTTTTTATTTCTTCATCTGCTTTTAATGTCAGGTCTTTCTTCCCTCTCTACCCTTTTATTACAGAAGCCAATTGGCTTCAAATAATATATATGTATTCCAACCCAAATTCCCTTGGCTTTATTTCTGCAACTTCTAAGATGACTGAGGATCTTTCATTCTCTACTTTCCCTAGGCAGGCCCTATTCTAGACCCTTCATCTTCTCATTGGTTGACTCCTTTTGAACAGATTTCTTGAATTGGATCCTTGGATCCTGTGTGCAGCTGATCACTCTCGGTAATACGGTGATCAGATTAGATCACCTATTCTTTTAGAAACATTACATACTGTTTTTTCATGCACATAAAGCCAAAAACTATGGTTAGAAATAGGGGGAAAATGAGCCTGGCACTAGCGGCTCATGAATGTAATTCAAGTCACTCAAGAAGCTAAGAACTTGGTTGAAAGCCAAAGGTTGGGCAGAAAAGTCCTCTGACAAAGAATGAGCACGGACATCAAATACAGTGAAAACAGGGGTTATACCATGGGGGAGGGACTGTATTTGATGTTGGTATAATTTGGGGAGGGGAAGGGAAGAAACAAATTGTTTAAATAGGGATACAAGTGGACCCACTGCCACAATGAGATGTACAAGATGTTATGTTGAAAAACAAACTATACAACTTTGCGGGGGCGAAGGGATGGGAGGGTAGGGATGGTAAGAGGAAACGAAGGAGGCAACAATGCTTGATAAGAAATGTTCTCATTACCTTGAGTGAGCACGAGATGTGTGTGGCTCAAATGGAAGCCTTGAATTCAAGAAAACACAGATAGTCTCTCTCTTACTCTCTCTTTCTCTCTCCTGCTCTCTTTCTCTCTCTCTCTCCCCTTTATGGGAATAAGATTAAAATAGCCTTAGTTGATGGTTTGTAGTTATTGTCCTAATAAGAAAAGATCACATAGATTTCAATAAGGTTTATCGGAGTAACTTATATGGTGGTGAGGATTACCATGGAAAAACCCTTTGTGCCATTAACATATGCTAAAAAATAGACAAAAAATGACTGAAAATTAAAACCGGCTAAATTGGGAGAGTATGTACAAGCATCAGGAAGGTTGGGTCAACAGAGAAGGTAATTGAAGATGAATATGGTCAAAGTATTTTATATCCATGCATGAAAATGTAATAATGAAACCTGTTGAAATCATTAAGAAGAATGATATGGAAGAGACAGGGAGGAGGTGATTTTGATCTGTGTACTTTGTGTATTTGTGTGACAATGTCACAATGAAAATCCCTCTTATATAACTAACATATGCTAGCCATAAATCTAAAAAGGGGGGGAAAAAACCTCCAGCAAGAATGTAACATATGTCTATATCATTCCAAATTTTGGAGATCTCAATTTTCCATGAATTTAAGGTTTTTATTTGTTTTTCACACTTCTAGTTCTTAAATTTTTGATACCTTGTCTCATTAAAAGCACACAACTCACTCAGTTATCTTTTTCTCAATGCCTTCTTTCGTATAGCTCCAGACTCCTTTCCCCAGACAGAGCATGTCTTTCATGTTTCCAATCATTCATATTGTCTCTTTACCTTATTCCAATCCTTAGTTCCTGCTCCATCTGGTGAAATTCAAATCCTTCTTTAAAGTTATTACCGTTGCTATATCTTCTGTGAAACAGTCCATGAGAATAGTTGCAACAATCACAGTATTATTAACAAAAATAATAAAATTGAACTCCAGAACTTTGACTGGTAGAGCATGGGTTTTCACATAGATACGTATACTTTATTTTCCTACCAGTCCTGAGGGAATTGTGCCATTATTGTCACCATCTAACAGATGAATTAAGACAAAGTACATCATAGTCAAAACTCTGTAAAATATAGAGTTCAAGATCATATAGTGCAATCTTTGTAACCGCAGACTGACTGCAAAACTCACTCTTCTTTTAGAGTCTGAATCACTGGGTGTGTCACTCAATACTAGCTCAATAAATCCCTCCTTAAAAAAATTTTTTTTCCAAATTGCCTGTTTGCATCATAAGTTTAGCTTGTATCATTGGCTGGCTTTCATGCCAATAGGCTCCTTAAGGGAAGAGAGAGACTTATTTTACAGGCCCAGAATACTAAATCAGCCTAAGATTTCCATTTATAGCCATAAAATAGAAATCATTCCATTCCTCACACATGTATCTCCATGTATTTTACTTCACACACCCTGTGACCTAGTTATCGCAGAAATTGCTATTCTCATTCACCCCATATGGTACTTATCTTAAGTATCTTTATGTATGCTGTGCCTCCTGCTCAAAATGCACTTCCACATTTGAAAACCTTTACCAAGGTGAAATTCAAATTCTTACTGCTAGTTCTTTCTTTGAAACTTTTCTGATTGATGAGTTAAATGTAATCTTTCCCTCCCATACTTTTATATAGTGTTATTATCCATTATCATTTCAGTCTCATTTATTTTCAATATCTTTAGAAAATATCCTTTAACTGAATTTTTTTTAACATAGTAGGTGTTCAACAGAGATTAACTGCCTTAAAATCTAAGTTATTTAAACCAGTAGGCTTTCCTATAAAATTGAGGTTCAAACTTAGGAGAATGTGAGATATTATTGTATTTATTCATCTCTATGCTATTAAATGTAGTAGGTATATAAGGCAGTATTATTTTCAAATCTTCTTTCTCTTTTAGTGAATGTATACTATTTGATCTAATTTACTTTGACCTGCCTATAGGTAAGCAAATTTTTATATATTAAAAAGAGAGCTTTTAATTACAATTTCTTCTGTAATAATGCAGCAACACTCTTTTTTAATAATACTAATATTGATAGTGGTAACAAGACTAAAAATATTCAAGGGACTAATATATTAACATTAAATTTGACAAATGTTTATCAGAAGTCTACTATATGTAAGGCAAGATTCTATGAAGAACAAATACTATTCTGTGAAGTAAAGTTAGGAATAATTCTTTAAGGAAGTGAATATTAAGAAATGTTGATGCCTAGCAAGTGTGAGGTCTTGAATTCAATCCCCACTATCACCAAAAAAAAAAAAAAAAAAAAGGAAAGAAAGAAAGAAAAGAAGGGAAATGGAGATAGGATATCTTGTGTCACATAAAGCTACTGTATGTACTCACAAAAGTTATGAAGTGCTATAAAGTTATCCAAGGAGAAATGAAATTTTTGTCTTGAAACTCACTACAACCTTTTCTCCTCCTCTACCACTTCTTCTACTTCCTCCTCCTCCTCCTCCTCCTCCTCCTCCTCCTCCTCTTCCTCCTCCTTCTCTTCCTTCTCTTCTTTTTAGAGCTGCTCACATTATGATTATGGTAGTAAGGAAGCAAAAAGAGAAAGGAAGTGGGCTCCTCCAATGAAAATTTCTTCTGGAAGGCTCCACCTCCTAAATATCTAAAGAATGCTATAGCTTGGTGACCATACAATGCTACAAGTTGGCACATGAGTTTTAGCGGCGCTTCAGACTCAAACAATAGGAATAGATTAAAAAACTAAAGTTGAATTTTTTTTAAATAATGGATACTAAAATCAAAATCAGAAAAAGAGAAATCAACTTCTCTTTTAAAAACAAACTTATAATTTCAGTTGCTAAATGTTATTTTTGTTGCTTGAATCCCCATAAACTTCTAAAGAAAACATACCTCCAGTTGTCCATGGACTTTGCTGTATCTCCTACCTTACAGAACTTAATGTTTGTTTGACAGAATCAAATACTCTTTCCTGTGAAAGAGATCTCATATCTTAAGTTCTATTGAAGAAAACAAGAAACACATTTTAAACCTTTATTTTAAGGTGATTGGTAGTTCAACAAAAGCAGCTAATTCAGTGCATGACAATATTGTATCCTGCCACATCACTTTTCTCCTAAAAAGTAAATAAATCACTGTTTCTTAAGAAGTTAAGAGAACAAAGCCATACTAAAATGCTTTATTTTCATTTCAAATGTATATTCTAGGTGGAATATGAAGCACAGTGTACTCATTGATGTAAAAGAACAAAACCATAGCTGAAGCATAGAGATGATAGTCTCCCCCGCCCCCAAACGAAAACAAATAATGCAATACTTAGTTTACCCCCATCATTGTCTACAACGATTCTATGAAACCAAGGTAGCAATCACTGTGCAAAGTTTGAAGAGATTAAATAAATGCCTGCATATTCAATGAAAAGGGAAAATATTAACATCCTGGAATGATTTTTATTCCTGGTCCATTTTCTGCCCACTGGAAAAAGTTGCACTGTTTTTCTTTCCCAAGAGGACAAACAAAAAAGTTCTTCCCATTATTTGGCCCAATCTTCAACACTGTTCTCATGATGCAGCGCTTGCCATGTTTGCAGAGTGGGAAGGATAAGTCTGCCCACTGAGGGAGGAAAAGACAGGAAAGAACAGTTTACATGGAAGTTGCAATGAGGAACAGACTAAACATAGCTCAGTGGTGTCACACTGTCTTTGCAGCTGTTGCTACTACTCTGACATTGTAAAATAGACATAAGCCATTAGCTGTTGCCCTTAAAAATACGCATAAGCATCTCTTTTCCATTTGTGTTTGAATCAGATAGGAAATTACCATAATTGGCATAATAGCATAATTGACATAATAGGCAAGAAACTTCCCTTTAACAGGAATAACTCAAAAATTTCAAACTTTTGCTATAAAGCAACCATCAGTATCCCTGTTGTAGGTTTGAGTTAAAATGGTGCATAGCTTTTTCCTAACTATATCAGCTACCTTTCTTAGTCTCTTAGGAAAATAATTCATCATGACTTATCCCTACATACAGTAAGGTAGGTAGCTTCCACTGTATTATTCCTGTTACTAATTTTGGCCTCAAGAGTGGTCTGAAGAGGACTATGAAAGCTTACATCTTCATCTATGAGAGCTTTACTGAAAAGATCTGTGACTTTAGGGGCCTAGAGGCACATCTTGTTCAGGAGTAGAGACCTAAAATCACTCTCAAATTTAATTTTAGTAAATTCTTTAAGAAGGTTACTTAATCCAAAAGGATACCCAACCCCAAAACATTCGATCCAATATACTGAAACAAATCAATATTTTCTTTCTTCAGTTACATATTAGATGGAGTCCAACTTGGAAATATGTGTATCTTGAACATTAGAATCACATTCAGCCCACAGAAGTGGGATTGACTAAAAGGAGTCTCCTATCTCAGATACATGGGGTACAATAGCATGTGGAATCAACTGTAGTGGAATTATTGCTGTGATTCCCTTATTTGTGGTCAAGCAAGTGTAGTAAATAGTCACTAATGTTAAATCCAAGACATCTACATTGTTTTTCATGGCCATCTAATGCATAACCTAAAGGTTTTTCAGATAATACTGAAATTAGGATAAGCCAGTTCTTTCTCAGAATATTTATCACAAGTCCTACTACTACTAAATACTAAACACTACATACTTCTTTCTTTGAGATCCCAGAACAACACTTCCATACTTGTGATTACAAATATACTCTCATAATATATAAAAAATAGTTGCTGTTTTATTATTATATCGCAGAGGCTCTGAATGTTTATTCCACATTCATGATTTATTTTCTTAAGATGGAATACTGCTTGTCTTGCTTTTAAACTGAAAAGTAAAACTGAAAAGCATTACTCCATGTTTTGAGCTAAAATTCAGTTATGCCAAAGGAAGCTTGGTAAGTCTTACACGTACTTTGAAAAATCCACATTGATCTTTGCCAGGGAGAGAACAAGCATAGAATTGCCTCCCCTTGTTTTCTCCATCTTTCCTCACAACTCGGAGAACACAGAGGCGGTTGTGCTGGCTGCATCGAGGGCTGCTTGCATTTAAGGTGCAAGGATTACCTGCCATATTAGTTTGGAGCGCCCTGTAATGAGAGGTTATGGTATAATAGTGTTAAAGGAATCATTCACACCACTTCACCCTTACCCATTGTAATTATTCTTGTTCAAAGAAATGATATCAAGAAGTGGGTCAGAGTCAACTTTAGGTATTCACATAAACCACTGTCTTTTAAATTATTTGTTTCCCCAGGGAATTCTATTTCACATCTAAAGTTACCTATGTATGAAAACCATAGAACTTAAATCTCTAAAGAATTAAAAAAAAAAACTAGTTGAGTTGTATATCTGGTCCATCTTATTGTCTTAAAATGTTCATTTCTGTTTGGTTTTTCTCTTGCTTATTATTCAGTGCAGTCTGTATTATCTTTAAAATATTCAGAAGTGTACCAAACCTGTCCCCATGGAGTAATCCATGTTAGAATCATCTCTATTTTCTCATCTGTAGAAATACTTCTTTTCTCATCAATGGTACTAAAAAGTCCATGCAGCACACTCTCCCTACTGTCTACTTTAATGACAAGTTTTCAGTGCTTCCCTTTGATCAAGGATAGTGTCACAATCATACTGCAGAAAGGGACAGCTGCTTAGCAAAGCAGATATGTGTATTTTGTGAAGAGAGTAAGGGTGTTTTATCTCTTGCCAATTAGAGTACGTGGAGGTCATTACTGTACAAAGCCTAGGAGTTAACCTTGTACTTGAGCTGTATAAGCATAGTGACCTCTCTGTAAAGGAGCTTCAAAATTATTTTTAATTTTCAATATTTTACATCTTATGACACTCATCTTCAATGCCATTCATCTCCCCAAGTTATGACTGCATTCACTCACCTTTAGAACAGACTTTTAATAAGCCAGTTAATAGAAAAGTGCTTGTATTAGTTAAACCATGAACTTGGGGGGCATATCTCTGTGTTAAAGAGTTCATGCTTTGCATGTACCCTGGAGTTCATTACCAACACCAAAACAAAGCACAAAACAGGACAAAGCAAGATTGTAAGTCTCTCACTTTAATATCTGTATTTAAAATCTTTTAAGTGATGATATCATTCATCCTTTCTCACTTTTAAGGAAATTTCAAAAAATAAAAGCTCTTCAATAAGTTTTAGAATACTTAGAAACTTGGGACAGTTTCCTTTTTCCTTGTTTCCTAAACCAGTTTTCCAAAAGAGTCTAGTGACAACTTGCCTCTGTATCATTGTCTCATGGCATCACATTAACTGAAATATTTTAGAAAATGTGCTCTATTATTTGTGATGAGACTGATTTAAGCTTGTTTACTAAACAGAGGATTAACTATTGCTTTAAAAATATTTGTTGGGACAGACCTAAGCTTTTTAAGGGCAGTTTGTGATGCTATCTATAGATTAGCCATTTATTTACTTAGGACTTAGGCAGTCCTAAGTAATCACCATAAAATTTCATCACCAGCAATTTTCTTGGTACCTTTTACTGGGCGGGCTGGGGGAGGCTTCTATTTCTTCTTTTTTGCCAGTCCTAGGACTTGAACTCAGGGCCTGGGCACTGTCCCTGAGCTTCTTTTTGCTCAAGGCTAGCATTCTACCACTTGAGCCACAGCACCACTACTGGCCTTTTCTGTTTAGGTGGTACTGAGGAATTGAATCCAGGGCTTCATGCATTCTAGGCGAGCATCTACCACTAAGCCACATTCCCAGTCCAGCTTCTACTTTAAAATCATGCATTGTACCAAATCTTTTCCACGACCTTCCTTCCACTAATTGCCTTAAAAAGAGGTGCTATAAAACCTTTAACATTGGGGCTGGGAAGATGGCTCAGTAGTAGAGCACTTGCCTTGCATGCTCGAGGCCCTGGGTTCGATTCCTCAGCACCACATAAGCAAAAAAAAAAAAAAAAGCCGGAAGTGGCGCTGTGGCTCAAGTGGTAGAGCACTAGTCTTGAGCTGAAGAGCTGAGGGACAGCGCCCAGGTCCAGAGTTCAGGCCCCACGACCGGACCCCCCCCCCCCAAAAAAAAAAACTGTAACATTGAGAAAAGCTGTATCTGTATAGCTATAGAGAAGTCAAGAGATTTCAAAATTGAGATAGCTTCATAAAGTTTTATATAAAAAGAACGAGAGAAAGAGAAAAGAAGTTAAGACTATGGTAGATGAGTATAAAAGTACTTACCCATAAAAGCTATGCATTATTTAAAAACAGCTGTCACTGGTAACAATTAGCTCAATATTTTCTAACCTACTTTCTTCAACCTGGAAATAGCTATAGTTTCATACACTGAAGAAGAGGTTTAATTTTTTAAATTTAGGTATTAGATTTTTTTATGAGAAGACCAAATATACATACAAAGTGGGATTAAAGAGGAAAGGCCTTAGCCTCTTCCATTTGGTTCATTTCTGTCTTCTATTCTCTTTTGTCCTTGTTGCAAAGTTAAGTAAAATAACACTATGTGTGCTTTCCTTGTAGTTGGCACTCAGAATATGTTCCACTGACCAAAACCATTAGTATCACCCAAGAGCTCCTTAGAAATACAGAATTATCCATCCTCATACAGCTCCCTAAGGAATCAGAATCTACACATTAACAAGATTCCTAGGTGGGTTATCTGTACATTAAGCTGTGGAGCACTGAGGGAGTTAATGTAGCCAAGCTATTGGATGCCACCTGTGATCTTGATCACATCAGCTCAAAATATGCATAGCTAATCTTAATTTTATTATAGAAAATATTATCCAAGATAACTAAATGGCCTGCACAATTGAGGCTGTCTTGGTTCCTCTTTGTTTTAATAATTATTTTTTAAAGTATAACAGAACATTTTCTTAGGTAAATTTAACATAGCGCAGTTTAACTGATTTCAATGATGAGAATTATCATTTTGAATACAGACTTTAAAGTGGCATAGCAGCATAATAGACCAGGACTTGGCAAACTTTTTTGGAAAATACATATTTTAGGCTTGTTGGTCTCATGGTTTCTGTTGCAGCCATTCAGTTCTGTACTTTGTAACATGACAAACAGCCACATAGCAAATAACTACTCAAACAGAAATTCTTTACTCAAGAGTCGTAGGCTAGAATTGGCCCTGTTGGATATAGTTTGCTGGTCTAGATATGATTAAATTCAAGAACAATTTTTGTAATCGAACAGTTTCTCAATAAAGAAATTAAAACAATGTTCAAAGCTCTGGGCTCAATCCTTGGCATCATTAAATAAATAAAAAATACAATATAATAATATAAATAAGTATAATTGAAGAGAAATCAGATAAAAACTATCATCAATGAGGAAGACAGTACCAGAGATTTATAATTTTAACTAAAAGTTACTTTTTTGATGATCAGTTTATCACAGTTCAATAATTTTGCAGAAAAGAATGATTCATTCTTACAATAAACACTGCCTGGAATTTTTATTATGCCTTCATCAACCCAATTATATATAGATCTGGCCATCTAAGTTTACTTCAAGAATTAAAACATATAAAAATTTACTCATACTAGAGGAGCTCGAAATCTCAGTGGAGTCTGAGGACTCACACTAGTGACCTAGAAATAAGTCCAAGGTGTCCAGGACTGAAAACTGATTAGAGTTAGGACTTCCATTCCTGATGTGGGAGACATGGGAAAACACAGATGACTTTAGTGTTAGATATGGTGATGTGCACTGTGGTCCCAGCTATTCTACAAGGTCAATCAAGGAAGAAGGATCAGGGTCAGAGACTGTCCCCAGCAAAACACCCACCCACCCACACACACACACACACACACACACACACACACACACACACACACAAAACTGTCGATGGTACTCGTGGTAGGTATTTGCCTAGTAAAGCCCATTCCTGATAAAAGAAAAAAGAATAGAGAGCAAGAAAAAGGAAGAAAGAGAGAGGAAGAAAGAAATGCAGAAAGACAAAGAAAGGAAGGAAGGAAGGAAGGGAGGGAGGGAGGGAGGAAGGAAGGAAGGAAGGAAGGAAGGAAGGAAGGAAGGAAGGAAGGAAGGAAGGAAGGAAGGAGACAAATAATTCTGACAATGTCATTTCACTCTTCTACAGGAACCTTTGCAACAACTCAGGAAAAATATCAACCTTGAACAGATGCTTTCTTTTTGAAAATGTATCACTATACACTGTTCTGTGTTTTCAGTAATTGGATCAAAGATTAAAAATTATTTTAGTAGTTATTTTGGACTGCCTAAAAACAGATACTGTTATTTAAGATATAATTCAGTAGCTGAATAACATTTAAGTATATCTGAGGACCAGCCCTCCACCCCTCTCCCCCCGCCGCCCCCCCCCCCGCCACAAACTCCCCTGCCCCAAATAACATGTATGGCATGGTGATAAGATTAGTAATTAAGGAAACAAAGGCAAATGCAAATTAATGACCCTATAATTATTAAGGGAAAAATAGCTGGCTAAATTCTAAGTGTACCACCTGCCTTAATAGTATTATGTCGTGAGCCTCTGCTAGGAGTCTTGTCCACAAGATGAACATTGAAGCTGCCAGACAAGGAGAAAAATGAAATAAATGACAGTAATTTGCAATTTATTCCTTGTAAAGTAGCTGGGTGCAGAAGGGCTTCTGGGTGAATTTATTTCATCACTTGACATTTATTCTGCTAGTTGATCTTGATTGATTGTAGATTCTCAGTCCTGGTGTTCTTATATTCAGTACATACACATGGCTGCAGCATTTCTAAGTAATGCTGTGCGCTGTGATTAATCATATGATTCTATTCCTAATGGCTTATGAAGAGATCAGTTAAATTTAAGGTTACATTAATGTTTTCTTTTAAATCCTAATTCATTAGTTAAATCGTCTGAGATTTTTTTTAAAAAAAGCACTAAGGAAATAAAAATATGCCATGATCTTTCATCTGGATACAGCAAATGGCACAATATTTTAAAATGATTACTTCTACTTCTTTCCACTTAAGCAACAGAACAGAGAAGCTGCTCAACAAATGGTTTTCTCCTACAGTATAGCTTTTCAACTGAGAGATTCTAACTCCTTCATCATTTTCATCATGGTACCACTAAGCATTAAAGTGAAAAGGTGGCATATTTATCTAGTCAGTTAAAGGTCCATTCCGAGAACTTAATTCCGATGTATCATGGACAGAAGTTAAACCAGTTATCATAAATGTTTTATAAACAAAATGTTTTGAAAAAAATCATTCACCAGAATTAACTGATGACCGATTATAGTTGGGATGGAATATTCGAGATAAGGACATATATTAAGCAACATTATCTCTGAATTGTTATGAGACAAACTCTTAGGATCTCCAGAATTTGGTCTAGGAGTGTATACCAGGTAATTCCACATCCCATTTTAGACTTGAGGAGGAATCTCCCCATCAGCAAAAGTATAGCTAAAATGAGAGAAATAGCTAGTAGAGTTCTACCTCAGATTCCACCAGAATCCAAAGCAACACTGCTTCCCCTTTTCATACAAGAAAATGTTATACACTCTTCACACAAAAATGATGGCTATATGGCCCTTGCTTTCTGATAAAACTAAAAGTAGGTTAGGAAAAAAATATATGGAGAAAAGTCTGGTGAAGGCATTGCGACAGGTAATCTGGATAAAGGGATGGGATAAGGTTTGCCTCTGGAGTTGTGAATATTCATTAAGGAGTAGGAATGATAGTGTATAGATAATAATTCTGCATTCCTAGGTGGCAGCAACTAGAGGGATATTCTCCTGAATATGTAGCTGGGAATCCCACAAAATATATCTGGTCAGTTATACTCTTTATCAACTGGAATTAAAGCCTCTTCCTCTCAAATGCAAGAATGGAAGCTCTTTTGGGTTTTTTAAGTTGAAACAGAAAACAATGTAAAACATCCCATATGGCTAATTTAAATGTAACCATGTCTTTATCAGAAATGCCATTCAAGGAAAGAAAGCACTTCTGATTTATTTTTAGATGCCTATCTTCCCTTCGTTTTTTCTCCTCTGGTGGTGTTGAGGTTTGAACTCAGGGACTTGTATTTGCTCAGCAGAAGCCCCACCACTTAAGCTATACCTCCAGTCCTCTGATTTCTTTTTAAAATAGAAGACACTAAACTTTTATAAAAGAGGATTTTCTTTTCAGAATGACTTGTCATTGAAGGGAAAGATAGTCTTTGACTTACAATGGTGCTGCATACAATGTTTTGACCCTGATGCAAAAGAAATAGAGATTCAGTATAAACTGTTCTTCAAATTTTATCCCCCTACTTCCTGAGCTAGTGATATGCAGAGTACAATAATTTCTTTTGATGCTAGACAGCATACCATAACTCCTTCTTAGTTATTTGATCACTAGGGAAAGCAATGATTACCCTACAGTGTACTCTAGTGCCCAGCTGGGATGTTTAGATGGTTATATACATTTATTGCACCTACAAAAGTTTTATTGGGACCTAACTACCTTGTAAGTCAAGGAATAGCTAAACAAAAAATGCTAGTAGTTATTAATATGGTGTGGGCAATTCAAATATTTCTTTATATTTTCTGTACCAAGCACATACTCAACAATGTGGTATATGTTGATATATATGTAAGAAAACCTGTTTGTAGTTTCTTTCTTCTTTACCAGGAATAAACTAAAGGAAAAGGAAAGATGTAGATTTTTCAGTGTTTATGTTAAAAAATTCATTTTTCTTAGCAATGGATGAGTCTGCTTTTTTAAGACTTAAAATTGCAATACACATATTTATTTTTAGAGATCTTAAAATACCGTACAAATTTTAAGAATACCTTTAAAACAGCTTAATGCAAATGTATGTCAAAGGCAAAGGTGAAAATCATCATACCTGTTCGAAGCTCCAAGATTGCAATTTTTGAAATGATCTGGTGATGAGTCGTGTGTTGTTTTCAATTTTTTATGTGCTGGACTAAATAATTTAGATGAAGAGCAAACCATGGGTGATTTGATTGCTTTGTTAGGGAGCTGAGTGATAAAGTCTATTCTCTTGTCAGAGGATTGCTGTGTGCCACTAAAGCAAACATCTGTAGGCAAAGAGTTGTGAAATTCTTTATCTAGTAACTGGTTTTGGCTTTTTTTTCTTTCCGGAGTATTGGATTTATTGCTAAAATCAGTCAAGACAAGGGTTGTGGTTCCAAATACAGTTTTTCTGTTGATCTTCACTTCTGTATGTGTCTTTCCAAAGTTATTACAAGAGTACTTCACTAAGTTAGTACAGGCAATAGAATTTTCTTTACTCTTGAGCACTGAGTCTGGAAAAAGAGATAAGTAATTCTGCAATATTCTTAAAAATGTAACATGTAATATTTGAAATTTTTATTTGATTAAAAAATTTAGTACTTTTTGTTACAGTGAGATGATATACAGAAATAATACAAAGTTAGCTTGAGCAAGTTATAATTAAATCATCGTTTAGCTAGGAGATGAAATACTAATTAAAATGTTAACAATATAAAGGTACCACTGACGGAAAGATTTATGCTTGCTTAGTATTTTGTTTAACAATCTCAAATTCACTCAACTATGAGCTGTGTTAATATTAGGTAAAGCATTAAAGTGATGATAATGAAGAGACAATATACTATGAAGGTTCAGCTCAACAGAAACATGTTTATGGCAGCTCAGCTCAACAGTTAGAGACATATTTATGGACTATGAGGAATATTTCTGTGAACGACAACACAAAGAGAAAAGCTTATTAAAAATAAATAAAGATGAAATACCAAGTTTCTACAGGATTCTGAAAACTGCCCTTTAAATCATAGTTAATATTATATGTCTTTTGTATTCAGAAAAATTAACAAGAAACAGTTAATGAGATGTGGAAAGGCATTTCAGGATTGAAATAAATGTGGAAACCTAAGACTGATTTTCTGCTGTTTTGCTTTTGATTGCTGTGAAGAAGAGGGCAGAGAAATAGGAGGTGCAGTCCCTTGGGCTATTACCAAAGCTGTGCAATGGGTGAAGCCTGCTTTCCAGGCTCAGGGAACAAAACACAATATGACAGCTAACACAATGTCGGGGTCTTTAAGTCAAGAATGAACTTTCTCATCTCTAATTGAAGAAAGAAATAACACTTTGAGAACACAATAGAGGCCGCATCAATGAGATGGTTCTTAATCACAGGTTTCCTCTGAGGTTTTACATTCTCTGAACGCGTGAAAATTGTGAGCTACAAAGAGTTATTTTGAAGGATTTCAATGAAATCAGTACAATTGTCTGGGTAAAGATTTTAATAACAAGGGGTAGGAAGGATAAAGAAGAGGAAAAAATTCAGCATTTTTCTATTCCACCTGCTAAGATATTCTTACAGAAATCCTCCCTTTCAATTTATGAAGCACTTGGACTGAATAACAAACTCGAAACTTGCTGAAATCTGCATAAAACAAAGCTTTATTGAATAATTCATTAGAAACAGTAGAGAACAGATGTGATCATCTCAGTTTTTTGAGATACAAAGGCACATACTGTTTTAGCACAAGTATGTTTTCCCATCCCTGTTTTTTCTTTTTTTTTTTTTTTAAAAAAAGAAGTATTTTCAACAGGATATCAGCATGGTCTACAAGCAAAGGCTGGCAACTCCTTTAACCATCTGAGAAAGAATATATTTTACACTGTGGCTGGAAGAAGGTCTATGCTTAACTTTGTATAATGAACATACTTGAGCCTTACCGACAGGCCTGGGGGTCAAGCAAGCCTCGCATGCTTGCACAGAGGGCTTGTTTATCAGGGTGCACACTGCACATGTCCACTGCTCTTCGAATTTCTGAGCCACTGAGTCTACATAACGGTCTGTATTGGCTGTCCAACTGATGATAGTATTTCTAGTTGGCAGTTTGCTATAAAAATAAATTTTAAAAATTAATCTTTAACATTACTATTGCCACATTCTTACAAATTGTACTATTATAGAAACCTTTTCAGAACTATTAGTACCTCAATCCTTATTACTTAAAAGTCATAACTGACAGATGTCATAACTGCATCTCAAACCCTGGTGATGGCTGTTCAAGTCAGAAATTGTTAAGCTTTTAGGTAGAGTAAAAAAAGGTGTACTTTAAAAAACCAACTGAAGGTATTTGATATAACCAGTAGGAAGCATTTTACAAATATTTTAAGGAGTACTTTTCAATGCAAAACAAAAGAATGTTTATTCAACCAAACCAGGAAAAGTTATACAGAAATTAGAGCACTAAAAAGAAAATGGGAAAAGGTACTACTTCATTTGCCCCGAAAATTCTAGATTTTATAGTTACTTTATGATATTTGCAAACAATATGTCAATTAGTTAATCCATCATGATCAAAAAAGGTATGTTATTTCTTTTCATAGAGAACTATTTTATATCTATACATCAATCATTATTAAATATATAATTATTAGGTTATAAGAAAATTATAAACCAATTCTGATTTTTACTACAAATGTAAATATTGATTTATATTTAGAACTGACTGACTCGTGTGTGTGTGTGTGTGTGTGTGTGTGTGTACGTTGGTCAGTCCTGGGCCTTGAACTCTGGGGCCTGCTGTCTCAGCATTTTCACTCAAGGCTAGGGTTCTACCACTTGAATGAAAGCTTTGATGGTTAATTGCAGATAAGAGTCTCACAGACTTTCCTATCTGGGCTGGCTTCAAACTGCCATACTGAGATCTTCGCCTCTTGAGTAGGTAGGATTATAGGCATGAGTACCCAAAACCTGATTTCCATTGACCATTTTTTGCTCATATAGAATGTCTCTCTAAACTACTACCAAACTACTTTCTCCTGCTCTGGTTCAGGTCTGTAGATCATATCATGTAGTTGAGCAAACTTGGCAGTGTCATTCATTCTTCTTGTAATTACAAACATTAATCCCAAAAAGCTTTTTTAGGTAAACACTATATGTTTTACATTGCAGAACATGAGTTCTTTGACTTTGAAAGGTAGCCTTAATTTCTATAGTGTTTTATTCCTTACATATAATGACACAGTTTTAAAATTCAGGCTGGTCTGGTAAAATAATAAACAGCATAAGAAAATCTGAAAGCAAGATACATCTCATTATAATTCTTTTTTTTTTGGTCTGGTCATGGGGCCTGAACTCTGGGCCTGGGCGCTGTCCCTCAGCTCTTCAGCTCAAGACTAACGATCTACCACTTGAGCCACTTCAGGCTTTTTTCTTTTTGCTTATGTGGTGCTGAGGTATCGAACCCAGGGCCTCATGCATGCAAGGCAAGAGCTCTACCATTGAGCCACTTTCCCAGCCCCTCATTATAATTTTTATCTTTATGTTGATTTTTAGTGCACTCAATATTTCACATTCCTATGGAATATAAGAATTTACTTACTCTGAAAGACAGCATTTATTCATAATTTAGCCCAATTTATGTGGCCTGCAGATTTTTAATGTGCTCTAACTTTACATGATTTTCTTCTCCTGCCCAATAGATTTCACTAATGATAAGAGGATTTTTAGGAACTCTTTAGAAGCTCCCTTTCCTTGCCACTCCACTTCATAATAAATCTGCACAAATAAATACCTTCTAATCTCTATTTGCTTATGTAACAGGAATAGCAAACATAACATGGTTAATAGTAAATAAGGGCCTACCAAAGATTTCAGGTCATAATCCCAGGACACTATAAATATTACTTTATAAAACAGAATCTTTGCAGATGCAATTAAAGATCCTAACCTAGGGACATTGTTTAGATAGTCCTTTAAACTGATCACAAGTTTCTTTGTCAGAGAGAGGCAAAGGGAGATTATCTGACATACACAAAAGCAAAGATACTATTGAAAACACAGAATGGAATAACGCAAGTGTATGTCAAGGAATGCAGGTTAGCTATCCAATGACAAGAAATAGATTCTCTCCTGGAGTCTTCAGAAGGAGCTCAACACTATCTACACTTAAATTTTGGCCCAATGAGCTACAGGTATCCCTGAGTAGATACATTTCTGTTGTTTTAAGTTAACTTTGTGGTAATTTGTTATAGGAGCCAAAGAAAATTCGTAAAATTCTGCAATCTGCTACTCTACTACTTTTTCATCAACAATGACATCATCATTTACTCAACTGATCAGGCCAAAATTCTAGAAGTCACCCTAACTCTTCTTTCCCTTATATCTCATGTTCATTCTAAGGGCAAATCCTGAAGAGTGCACTGCATAGTCAAATTCATAAAGCTAATCAAGTTTAGCCTTTTACAGCTTGATGTTTTCTTCTCTTCATTCTACAGTGAGGACCATGGAACATGGAAGAGGAAACTCCAGCAAAATCCGTGCTGGAGTCTTAGATGTTTCCAGGTTTGGTAGATTTGGAATACCTTCATTGAGGAAGGTCCACAAGATTATATTTTTTCCATGAATCCTGTAAATTACTCCAATATTCATTTGTACAGATGATTTTGCAAATTATGTGTATTTCTGTTTTTGTTTTTGTCAGTCTTGTGGCTTGAACTCAGGTCCTGGATGCTGTCCCTGATGTCTTTTTGTTCAAGGCTAGCACTCTACCTCTTGAGCCACTGTACCACTTCCAAGTTTTTCTGTGATTCATTGGAAGTAAGAGTCTCACAGACTTTCCTGCCTAGGCTGGCTTTGAACCACAATCCTCAGATAGCAGCATCTTGAGTAGCTAGGATTACAGATGTGAGCCACCTAAAATTTTGTTTTTTTTATGTCCAGCTAAATTACGATGTTGTTGTTGTTGTTGTTGTTGTTGTTGTTTTAACTCAGTAGCAATGCAATGAAAGTCCCTTCCCCGAATGAGCTTACAGTATCAAGACAAGTTTGAGATTCCTGTTACATAACCAAGTAAAGACTGGAAAGAATTCATTAATGGGTGATTAAGAAATGTAGCAATAAGGGAAGAGATCCCAAGAATGATCTCTTTATAAATAATAACTTTCTTTCATGTTTTCTAAAGTTGCTCCATTCCCTCAATACCCCTGCTGGTCATAGTTACATTAAGATTACAAATAGCACTACATATTCATTGACTAACAACTAGAGTCCATTTTGTTATATGGTTCCTTTTAGTTTCATTATCTTACATATCAAATCTGTCATAATTCTTGTTGACTTAAAATTTTAATTAAGATGATATTAATATCACTTTGACCCTAGTTCTGGTAAGCATTCCATTTCTTTGCTTTCATTCTCTTCATTTTCTGTATTTAGTACATGATATAATCAATTTGATTTTGGTACCCTGTGTCTTGTATATACGCTTATCTGATTTGAGGCAGGGAAGGGGAACAACAAAATGGTAAGACAAAGGACAAAGGGTGAACCTATGCAACAGCAATGAACGTTACAAGTTAGGGGTGGGAGAGGGAATTGCAGGGGGAGGGAAATGGAAGAAAAACAAGGGAGGGATAACACTGTACCACAGGAAATGCACTCATTACCTTTATGTATGCAATGTAACCACCCTGTAAATCACTTGACAGTAAAATTCAATTTTAAAAAAGTTCTTAATCTGTTAGGCAAGACATGAACTATTCCCAGAACTAATGATTCCCTCGTCTTTTGTATCATTCTATCTTTGATACCATTCTAGCCTGTACTATACACTAAGTTGGAGTTTTTATTGGCTTATCTAGTAGTGTCATTATCACTTCAGAATATTGTGCTTACTATTTACTTTCTCATTTGCTTAATCAAACTTTTCTTCCTTCCTTCCTTCCTTCTTTGCTTCCTTGCTTCCTTCCTGTGCCAGCCCTTGATCTAGGGCCTGGTGCTATTCCTTAGATTGTGTTGTTTAAGGTTAAGATTCTTATCACTGGAGCCACAGCTCCACTTAAGAGTTTTGGTACTTAATTAGAGATAAAGTTTCATAGATTTTCCCACCCAGGGTGGCTTGGAATTGTGATCCTCAGATCTCAGCCTCCTGAATAGCTAGAATTACAAGCGTGTGCCACTGACACTTGCTCAAATTGTACAGTACTTTCTTTAATGAGACGTTCCAATCTATCTGTAAATACATGATTCTAATATCCCCAAATTCTTAGTGTACTCTGTGCTTTCTCTCTGTATTTGTGAAAATTTTGCTCATAATTGCTATTTTACTCTGCAATTTTTTTCTCTCTTGCTAAAAGGAACTATGGCCTCTTACCAGTGTAACTAGCACTGGCAATAATTAAATGAGGAGATTTCATGAGAAATATTGGACTTTGGCTCTAAACAGAAAATAATTCAGCAGGCCCAGAACATCACTGTTACCCAGCTGTCAAGTCAGGTAGATTTCGTCTAAGTTTATCTTACAGAGGGTTTCCAAACCTCTCCCAGGGTTCTTTCCCCAGTTTGGGGGTTCATAAGGAAAGGACATATTAGCAATTGATAGAACTATCACACGTGTTCACTATGGGGTCCCTTGTTTCAGCAAGACAAATTCTGTATGAAAACCTTACTCATGCTTTACATTATTTCTAAGGGAAGCAAAGACTTCTGGAGGCATCTGCATAGTTTCCCAGTTACTGAACTTCCTGGTACTTTACAAACCAGATTATACCTCAAGGGTGAATGCCATCAACAACGTTGGTTCAGAAATGATCCTGAAATCAGCGTTATCTCCTTCCGGTTCTTTGATGAGGCTATTGCCTGTTTCATTCCAAAGGTTCAAATACTTTAATTTATTCTCCTATAAGTAGTTTGACATCTATTCAGTTATCTTCTCTGAAGTAAGATCATTTAAGTCAGAAATCTTACCATATGTCAACATGTTGAGGATTTTCTTTTTGACAGTGAGGACAGAAATATGTCATTCTATTATTTTCGCCTAAGCGACACACAGTAATTCTACAATGGCATTGATCACAGTTAGGACGTTTATAAACCTTATAGTATTTAGAGATGGCACATCTTGCTTTATGGCACTAAAAAAAAATGCAATACAGAAGAGTGTTGATAAGAAGTCAAAGATATATTATTGAAGTCATCTCTGAAAATAATGTCAAAATTACATATATATTTATTTATACATAGTTTCATATAATCTTCCCTTTCATCTAAAAAACGAGTATTGACAGGATTTCATAATGGCTGTCAAATAAGAATTGTGTGAATAATTAAGCCATTATAACTCATTAGCATTCAAAATTGCTCCTTTTACCTAAATGACATAAAAGATTCTATATTTTAAAGTATCTTTTATGCTTTTATAGTTATTTAAAATTAAACATAATTATGTGGGTATAAGAAAAACACTAGATTAGCATTAAATCTGTACAATATCAAGGCTGCTGATTAGCCCTAACAGCTCCCCCCAAAAAATCTATTTCCAGACAACAAAACTTTAGAATATTCTTTGTTGACCTGAAAAAAAAAAAATGACTTGTATTTGCTCACCTTAGAGATGCACTAGAAAATAAAATAAAAATTCAAATAGCATCCCAACAGAGAATACGTTCCATTTTGCTATAAATTCTATTTCAAAGGACATTTTGGTATTGTCTGTCATAGTTTTACTCTACTCACATTTAAAGCTTCCACAAGAGAATATTTTGTGTTTGGATCAGAAGTGTGAAAAACGTGAAAGACCAGAAATTTGACTCATTGTATAATAAGCTGATAACTACACAAATAATTTATATTAATTTAAGCACAGAATTGAAATACCCAATTTAATGTGGGCAAGAAGAGGGCTGTTGTAGTGAGCCATTTTTTTCTGAATACACATAATTTTAAAATAGCTATATTTGGTTCAGGTATGTGAATTGAGAGATTCTTTAATATTTTGGTTCAATTAATAAAAAATTACAATACCTTTCTTTGTGAATATAGTAACAATGAAGAATTTTGAGTACAGAAAAACTGGCTGTGGCAGAGAAACAGACTTACTTGTCATGTTTTGAAAAGACAAAAGTGTTTTCTAATGCCTAAAGACATGTATAAAACTTTCCAACTTTACATGTTGACAAGCACTTGTTTCATTTCTAGATCAGTTTCTTTGGTGAAGAAATAATATTATGGGGTTTTAAAGATGGAGAAACTAAACAAGGTTATGTAAATAATCTAAGAATAGAATATCCAGGCAAGGCCTGACAGGACTCAAGTCTTCCTATCCTTAAGTATTACATTTCTTTATGCTCTAATTTTTTATAACCAGAAAACTAAAGCTCAACCAAAATAGCAACATAACTATCCTTTAAATAAAGGATAACTTGCATAAGGTAATTTGTGTAAAGACCATTTAATATATCCATAGTTAGACAAGTGTGGAGTGACCTAGGACCTACAACTTCAAAATGTTAATGACATCCTATGAAGTGATGTCACGCTTCTTTATTGCACCTCTGGACTCTGACCACTAGATGGCTATGTACAACTTTAACATTTGTGGTGCCATCAATAGAGAAACCATTGACAGTTTAACATGGTTGAAAATATCTGCTCTTACCCGGTAAAAGAGAATGCTGAAATCACGTGTCATCTTCACCACGTGTTGGATCTGCTCATCTGTTAACTGACAAACCTTAAAATGGTAAAATGGAAACATAACTGAGTTAGTTATAAGCTTTATAATTTATTCATTACCGTAAAATTAATACCACTTGCCAATTCTGTTATAGAGAAATCCAAGTAGATTTTTTAAAAAGGCATACCTGGTAGAGCACACCTTTCTTTCTTTTTTCTTTTTGTGGTCCAAGGATGAAAATCAGGGCCTTAAGCATGCGTGCATGCTTGCACAAAGCTCCATTCCTACTCCTTGTTTATCTGTTTTTGTTACTAGTATTATCCTCATTTTAAATTAATAGTACTATTAACAATGATACCAATTGTATCTACACATTTTAATTCTAAGTTCAAGTAATTGTTGAGTATTCTGTATTAGACATCTTCAGATTCCCACCATTGTCTATCAGCTACTTGATGAGACTCGACGGATTTGAAAACAAGTAACAATTAAAAAGGAAACTAAAAGAAAGAAGTGAGAAAACAATAACAGGCACAGGAGTAGGTGACTATCAAGGTCACTGTCATGCCTTAAAAAGACACGATGTTAACACATGCATTAATATTAAAGTAACTGTTAACACAACACACACACACACACACACACACAACTGGGAAAAAGACCTTCCTGATGAAATTTTTTGTTGAAACTTTGGCACCAATCTTAATGTTACTTTTGCAGAATTAATTATTTGGCACGAGTAGTTTCAAAGATAATTCCAAAAGAAATCTGATGCCTTACTTTCCTATATGCATAAGATTTAATGTATGTGTACAATCACATCTACACACACATCCACACAATAGACAATGACGTCATCAGGGACTACACAAATGAAAATCACCTTGTTGGCATAATCATTCTAAAAATCTGGGAAATGCCCAATTGTTTAACTGTGAAAACTTTTACAAGTTTAAGCTTTATGTCTTACATATTCCACATATAAGGTCATGCTTTAAAATGTTAAACTGCTTTTTCAATAATTGGGCCTATACTTACCTGAGGTTCATAACTAAATTCTAGAAATATTAGTAAAATTTTAAGTCCCCAGACTGATCTTATACTAGATAGATGATTAGCTGTACACATAGATAAAAATTAAATTTAGTCACCGCAGAGAACAATATCCTGGACTCTTAAAAAAATCTTCCATAGAGGTCTCATTGATTTAAAAAAGTTTATTCTTCATTAAAATTTGATTTCATTATTGAAAACCTGAACTTCCTTTTTCCCATTTTGAAAAGGGAGAACCTAAACTAGAAGAATGATTAATAGAACTTTTAAATTTTAATTCCTATTGATTTGGACTTTACCAAAACTATCATGAAAATACCTATCTAAAGGAAGGATTTATGTAAAAAAAAATAACTAAGTTAATAGAGTTAAGAGTATAAAACCAGTAACAAAATATTTTAAGATTTTAGTCAATAACAAGAAATTTAGATAATATATTAGAAATATTTTAAATACTTATAATTTACTTTAACAGCAGGATGGAGACCACTGTCAAAGAGAGCTTCATTTTTGATGATATTCCCTACTCCAGGTAAGACTTTCTGATCCAATAATACATCACATAGCATTCGACCATTTTGCTTCTTAACTTCATTTTTTGCTCTTGAGAAACAAAATTTCGGTGAACAAATATCTAATTCTTCCATCATCCTTATTCTCTGTTGGCTTTCTACTGAGTTTCTGTGGAAAGAATATAAAAGACATTAAGTACAAGTATGGTTTACATTGTCATTTTGACGTAAATATTAACATTTTAGTTGAATCACGGCATATGAGTTTATATGGGTGAGCAATAACGGCCCTGTAATGAATTTTATCAATTATAAAGTCCTTATTTAGTACTAAGTTTCAAACCAAACTGTAAGTTATATAGTTTCTGAGTTTAACTATTTATTTCTTTTACCTGAGTTCCACTGAAGAGTCAAAGAAACAAATCAAATCTTTGGTGAGCTGTACTTCAAGAACAGGAGAAACTCTATTTTTAGTTTTATAATTAAGTGGATTAATCATGATGGAGCCTTTCATTCCAAAATGAATCCTGTAACAAAGCCAAATCCATTTTTGAATACAAGTATATCAAGTATCATTTCTTCCCTTTATTTCAACTTTTTTTATTATAAGCAAACAAATGTTAATCAGGATAGACACTTTAAAAGAAAAAAAAGTGTAGCTAAAATAACTTCTTAGAGAAATAATAAACCTCGACAATTTAGCTGAGAAAACTTACCCTGGTTCCTATCTTGTCAAATTAAGGATCTTTTATGCAGAACAGACTAGCATCTCTTCTTTTTTTAAGATTCAAAAGCTTGTGGTGAGACTAAATGTAACTTGCTTATAGTTTGTGTTTAAACATTCTACAAAGCCACTAACACTCAAATTCCTTATTTCTAGTAACCATGAATTGAAACTGTTTATCTTTTGCAAAATAAGGCATACAATATATGACACTCTTTTCTTCCCTACTGCCTTGGGATAAGCAATAAAACAATTTCTTGCAACAAAAATTTATGTGTCTATATATAACAGAAAGACAGAGAAAGAGAGAACAAGTCAAACTACTATTGTTTTCAATTCTTTTCATTTTTGTTTACCTTTATATGTATTGGGAAGAAGGGATTTATAAATATTTACAGTCAACTTTAAAGGTACAAGGCAGTAGTGAAAAATGCATAACCCTTCAGATTTTGTAAGACTGATTAGCAAGTCCAGTAAAAAAAAAAAAAGTGATTTTGTGAGACCTCTCAGGATGATCAAAACTGATTCTCAAGATAAAATACAGTGTTCTGTCTTTCAAATTCATCTCCTTTAGCTTTGTTGAGTTAATAAATATAATTTTTTTGGCAGGAAGTGTTACTGCTCTGTACTTCTAATTTCAAAGCACCATGTTATAGTATTGTACAAGGTTAACCAGTCTAACTTTAAAAATGTGGGTTTTAAACTCTGTGTGCCCTACTATCAATCAGAAATGCATTTTACATGGCCCTTAGTTCTTGACAGGAAAAATGTGTGCCTGTAAGTACTCCATAATTTAGCTCGTGGAGGTTCAGCCCCAGCGAAAGGTGTACAACTGTCATGCCCAGAAGCCATCATATCGAAAATCTTTTCAGCCATGGCTCATAAAGTGGATTCTAAATCACTTCCACAATGAAACCCCATCTGCATCAAAAATCTCAAAGGTTAAGGTCCAACACAAATGCGGGACCAGTCCCAATAAAAACTGGAAATAAAACAAGTGCGCTATTTATTCCATTATCTATTCTATTTATCTATTTGATTTCAAGGGCAATGTGAACGAAATAACTGTATTATCTTGTATTTATTTTATTTCAATTGTGAAACAGTTAAACATATGAAGATTGAGCGCCCAATAAACCAACAAATTTTGTGGGGTTACTGTTAAGTACCTATTATCTGAAAGTAAGAATATCTCAGTATCAAGAAAATATTCAAGGTAAACGTCTATATTAGTATAACAACTGTCACGTTGGTTTTTTTAATCCACCAGCACAAAGGTCTATATTACATTTGTTTTCCTTGAATTCTCATAATGAACTCTGTTAAGGAAGAATTTTTATTAGATCCTCCCCTCTGGAATTTCACAAATTTCAGTCTATGATGCTAATGGGCACTTAAGTCCATTCACACGCATAATAGAAACACTGCTTGCCAATTCCTGCTGCTAGCTTCAAGAACATTCATTAGTGCAAAGCTGGACTGTTCTCCACTCTTTCTTCTGATCCTGAGCCTCTGATACACACAGCTAAAGAATGAGCCCTTATCCTCATTCTGGATTCATTTCTAATTGTTAGCACACTGGCTAGTTATATAGGAGATCTATTTGGTTTAGTCTGCAGGCTTGAGCCTGTGATTTAACAAGGAAAGCAATTTAACTCTTAACAAATGTCTTCCCCCGTGTGTGTGTGTGTGTGTGTGTGTGCAGGCCCTGGGGCTTGAACAGACTGAGTGCGTGTGTGTGTGTGTGTGTGTGTGTGTGAACAGACTGAGTGCGTGTGTGTGTGTGTGTGTGTGTGTGAGACTGAGTGCGTGTGTGTGTGTGTGTGTGTGAACAGACTGAGTGCGTGTGTGTGTGTGTGTGTGTGTGTGTGTGTGTGTGTGTGTGTGTGTGTGTGCGCAGGCCCTGGGGCTTGAACAGACTGAGTGCTATGCCTGAGCCTCCTGCCCAGGCTGGCTTCAAACCATGATCTTCAGATATCACCCTCCTGAATTGCTGGGATTACAGGCATGAGATACCAGTGTCTGATTGAACCACTTTTAAGACTGTCATATAATCTTAAAACAAACATATGAAATCTCACATAAAGTACTAAATGCTGAAAAAACCATTTAGAACAGATACAAAAAAACATTTCTACATAGCAATTTTATGAGAGAAAGTAGGAGAGGACTCACCAATCTCTAGCTAACTGAATGCCCAAGAGATATGATGGAGAATTGGCACAAAAAAGGTTAGTTTCAATGAAATGAAGCTGACCTATTTATTCATTGAGATCATGTTGACCACGACCTAGTTAGTTCTATGGGAGAAAACATCTACTTACACAAAGTCTCCCACTTAATTGAGTTTAGGGCCAGTTGTGGTCAGAATTATTAAGTTAGAAAAGACCACCATTCCCAGATCCTACTATGTTTTTTCTTCTGGAATTCTAGTTACAAGACCATTTGACTTTTTCTATGCAAATCTTGGCTATTACTTCTTTAAAAAGTTTGTTCCATTCTGCTCTCTCTTTTCTTCTTAAGATATATTACACAAGTTAATCAGAATAAGATAGAAGGGAAACACTGGTAATTTGCTTGGGTGGCGAGGTAATGTACCATCTATATTATCACTGGGCAAAAGTGTCAGTATCAAGTGCTATGTCGCTAAAATGTACTTTTCTATCCCCAAGATTCTTGCTAGGGCAAAGGGACAATGAAAGTGGGCTAAGATTGGCATATTTCGATTAGGACTAGCTGGAGAGGCCCTCTAGGCTGTATTGATAACTACGGCAATCCAGTGTAATCTAGAAGAGACCCTGTTTCCCGAGCACCTGCTAACTCAGCTATTCCTTGGAATAATGTCACTAATGATGTCACTGCTGATGTTGTCTAACCTTGGAAACTCCAAGCTGGGCACCAATGGCTCATGCCTGTAATCTTAGCTAGTCAGGAGGCTGAGATCTGAGGTTCACGGTTCGAAGCCAGCCCAGGCAGTAAACTCTGTGAGACTCTTATCTACAATAAACTACTCAAAAAAGCCAGAAGTGGTGCTGTGAGCTGAAGTGGTACGATGCTTGGCAAAAAATAACAACAAACAAACAAAAAACAAACAAACAAAAGACTCCTGTCTCCTGTACTTGTGGCAGTCAGATAGAATAAAGGAGTAAGATGGATGGACAGGACAGTTGTTTTCGTCTAAAAGATGGTCTCCAGACATTAGCAGTGCTGTGGAAGCAGCACTAAAGGTTAATGCTATGGAGAGAGTGGATGTTACTGGAGGGGCGCCATGAGTTCTGTGCTAGGTAGTCATCATCCAGCTGGTTGCCACTGGACCTTAGCAGCACCCTGGAGTGTGTACTGTAATACATATAATTCAACTCAGAGCCTGATACAATGAGGCACTCCTATCATCCCATGCCATGTAGAATGAGATTAGAGGATCACGGTTGTAACCAGGCTAAGTAGAAAAGCACATAAGAATCCATCTCTACAAAGAAAAGGGAAGGTAGACACAGGTGGTGCTTGCTTGCAATTCCATCAAGGAAGGATGGGAAGACTACAAAAGCAAGAGGATAAACATATACACAATACCAAAAGCAAATACAGTGACAACGGGATACACCATAGGAGGAATATACAAAAGAAACAAGAAATCACATAGTATATTAAAAACAGCAATAAAAAAAAAACCTCTTGTGTCCATGTCTTGGAGTTCATTTCACTTAGCATCATCTTATATAGTCATGTATACATAGCTATTGAGCTATTCTGCTCATCTGCTAAGATTATCCTAGCTGTATACAAATAAGGGAAACCATGGGACCTATGTTTCTTTGGGTCTGGTTTACTTCACTTATGATTTTTTCCAAATCTTTCCATTTCCTTATCTGAATTAGGAAAGGAAAAGGGAAATAGAATGGGGAGACAAAGTATGGTCTTGTTTGTGATCATTCGGGTAAATGCCCAAAAGTACTAAAGCTACCAGCACAACTATGTTTATTGCAGCATTATTCACCATAGCTAAGATATGGAACCAACCCAGATGCCCCTCAGTAGATGAGTGGATCAAGAAAATGTGATATATATATATATACACGATGGAATTCTGTGCCTGCATTAGAAAGAATGGCATTGCCCTATTTGTTAGGAAATGGAAAGACTTGGAAAAAATTATATTAAGTGAAGTAAGCCAGGCCCAAAGAAACATAGGTCCCATGGCTTCCCTTATTTGCAATAACTAGTATATGTCTGAGACAAGCAGAAAAGGTCCGATAAGTTGATGTTAGGCGAAATGAACCCCAAGATAAGGACTCAAATGGTTTTTCTATCTTGCTATTGTTTCTAACATATTTATAAAATGATTTTTTTTTGTTGCTTTGTATATCCTTCCTCCATGGTATAACCCCGGTTTTCACTGTATTTGATGTTGGTATAATTTGTGGAGGGGAAGGGAAAAAACAAATTGTTTAAATAGGGGTACAGATGGACCCATTGCAACAATGAGATGTACAAGACAAGATGTTATGTCAAAAAACGAACTTTACAACTTTGGTGCCTGGGGTGGGGGGGGGTGGGAAGGAATGGGAAGGGGAAACAAAGGAGGAGGCAACAATGTTTGATAAGAGATGTACTCATTTCCTTACTCATGTAATTGTAACCCTCTGTAAAGTACTTTCACAATAAAAAAAGAATAAATTAACCAAACCAAAAAAATAAATAAATAAGAGTCTTATGGACTTTCCTGCCCAGGCTGGTTTTGAACCACAATCCTCAGATCTCAGCCTCCTGGGTAGCTAAGATTATAGCATGAGCCACCAGCATCCAGCTATCGAATATGGTTTAATATCACTTAGCATGGTGATTTCTAATTCTCTTTTCTTCATGGGTAAATAATACTCCATGGTGTATGTACGTACACATGTATGTATATATATACACATATATGTATATTTATGTGTGGATGTCTATTCTTTATAATGTTTTCTTTATTCATTCATCAGATGTTGGACACCCAGGCTGATTTTCACAGCTTGATAGTGTGAAAAATGCTACAATAAACATGAGTGTGGGGAGACAAAGGGCAAGGGGGGACCAGCGCAACAGCATTCACAAAACAATATGTTGGAAATGATCTGTCAACTTGGGGGGATAGGAAAGAGAAAGTAGGAGAAAAAAAATGAGTGAAGGGATAACAAGTTTGACAAGAAATGTACTTATTACCTTACTTATGTAATTGTAACTCCTCCGTACATCACATTGACAATAAAAATAAATAATAAATGAATAAATAAATAAGTCTTTTTTAAAAAGCAGGAAGACTGCAACTCAGGTGTGAGAAGTGCAACTTTATCCTAAAAATAATGACAGACAAGGCATGGCACAGCAGTATCATGCCAAGTGAAGTCCTGATTTCAAATCCCAGTACCACCAAAACAAATAACAAAAACCATAGTGATGTCAGAAACAGATCCACATATAGTCAATTAATCTACAAGTATGTTGCAAAAAGAAATTCAGTGAAGAAAGAATTAGCTCTACAACAAAGGTGCTGGAATAATTAGATACACCCAGGCTCTGAAAAAGAAATTTAAGAAAACAAAGCTTAAGTATTTGCCTTATCTAATATGCACAAATGAATAAAAAATGGATCAAAATCCAAACCAAGAGCTAACACAACAAAATCTCCCAAACAAAATACAAAAGAAAATTTGCATTAGGTCAATGTTGTGTAAACTGTTCACTCAAAAGTATGAACCAGGAAAGAAAAATTGGCTAAATGAGAATTCACAGTATTGCAAGCCATTGATTTCAAAAGACATGCTCAAGGAAATGAACAAACAACAGGTTGGTAAAACTTTCAAAACATGGATCCAGCCCAATGCTGGTGACTCACATCTATAATCCTAGCTACTCAGAGGATGAGCTCTAAAGAATACGGTTCAATGCTAGTTCAAAACTAGCCTGGGCAGGAAAATACGTGAGGCTTTTATCTCCAATTAACCTCCAGCAAACTGGAAGTAGTGCTGTGGCTCCAAGTGGGAGGGAGAGAGGCAGCATTGGCTCAGGGACAAAGTCCAGGCCCGGAGTTCAAGCCCCACAACAACAAAAACCAAACCAAACCATCGATTTGGTAAAAGACACTGAGAATATATACATATACATATATATGTATATGTATATGTATATATGAATGCACATAATCCAATAAGAAAACTAGCGGTTTCTAACATAAATGTACCAATTTTAATGTATTCAAAGGAACCCTGAAGATGTTAGTATGTGGTTGTTGTGGCTAGGTGACTAGGTCCAAGGAGTAATACTGTTGCCAAAATCCAAATGAGGATGTTGAATAAAAGACATTTATTTCTCCATAGTGTAGCCTGCTTCAGCTCCTTCCAATATACATGAGACAGATTACAAAAGGATAAGCTGCTAAAGCCTTTATAAGTAATTATAATAAATTCCATGAAGACATCCTAACAAACTAGAGGAACAGTTACATTATCTCTTGGATATCATCTTAGAAGTTAAACTCCAAGAAACTACAAAACTGATTATATGAAACAAATATCAAAGTTTCTGATTTCTGAGTAAATAGGTTGATTACAAGTCATGAAAGCACAAATTGGAAATAGCAAAGTGTTTTAGGAAACGATATTCACTAACATACATGTATATTTTAAATATTAGTCCAAAATGTTACAGCTGTGTTGATTTTTACTGAACCTGAAAACTTGCTGGGGCAGGGTGTCTGGGTGAATATACATATCAATACATGCATATTCTGTTCTGGCAAGGTATGAAACCACAGTAAATGTACTTAGTGGCGTGATGATGAATGTCTTATCTTATACTTTTTCATTATTTTTCAGTTTTCTGTAGTCAGTATATATACGAAAAGATCATTTTTGTCTTCTTTAAGCTACTGTAAAATGTGAAGTATGGGTAGTAATCACTAGGAATTTAAAGTAAATTAATATCAAAACTAATTTTTAGTATTCTATGATATCATTAAGAGGACTTGGACACATCCTTTCCTAAAAGAAAGAAATTTACTATCAGAAATAAAATCTAAATCACTCTTCAGTTTGGATTTTCTGAAAATACAGCTTTTTTCATGGCAAATTACCTTATAGTTGACTAGTGTGCATAGTGTAGAGTGTGTACTCTACTTCATAAACAAACAAATCCCTGAAGATTTGTTATACACAACCATTACAACTGAAAGTCTTTATCTGTTTGGGTTACAAACAGCTGGATATGAAGGCAAACTATACACTGTTAAGCATTTCCTTGTTATCTAAGTCTAAAATGTAGAACAGTCCTGTGTAGAAAACAGCAGAAGTCAATGAGGAAGACTCCTCTCTCAGGTGGACACATAGAGATCACAGTCCTTGGATTGAGTCATCCATTCCCCATGAAGCACAGGTTGGAAGCGCATTTAAACAAACAAAACAAAACTGAACTAAACAGAAAAACGTTAAATTGTGAAAGGAAATTCAGCAAATCTTAGGTTGTTGAGTACAAATTCCAATAGCTGATTGCCCCCTCCCCCACCTTGAATGGATATATTTAATACTTGTTAAGTCTGCAGGAAATTGAAGGCAAGCAAGCTAGTGCAATTTTCCCCCCAACCATTTACTAAGTTAGGTACTCTCCAGGGATGGTCCTAGAACATGCAGTTTGAAGAAGTGATTGCCCTTGTTAGAACTTCACGGAACACTTACTGACAGCCTTGCACTGAGAAATGATTCCTTCCTTATCAGTCTGCTGGGAAACACTTGATAAAAACCTCCCTCTCATCCTATAGAAATAAATCTGCCCTGAACACCAGAGAATCAATAACATAGCGATGCTTGCAACTCTTGTGCGTGGATTCCATTGTGTACTACTCTGTCCAGAGGTACAGCTAAGAGTTTTCAATCACATCAATCAATTACTACAGAAATACAACCTGCAATATATCGTCACAGCATGAACCAGCAAGCATATGCTGATGTTATCTATTCCAGGCTAGAAAAAATCCATGAAGTGACAATGTTGTCCAAGGACAGAAGCTGCTAACAGTGAAGAGAGAACTCCTCAAAGGAACAGCCATTACATAAACCAGAAGTAATCTAAATATGTTATAGATGAGATGTAATATATAATAATCAGAGTCAAGTCCTCTCTTTGTAAGTATCATCCACCTTTACTCAAAAGTCCCTGTCTTCTCTTTAAGGTGATAAATGCTCCATATTTTAAAGGAACACTAAGTAAGAGTCAAAGGAGGGGAACCCACTTATAGTTTGCAAAAAAATTCAGGTAGAAATCACACATAAGATTTGATAGATACGTTAACTGACAGACCACTTTCATTTCTTTTTTGTTTTTTGTTTTTGAACAAATTAAACAGATGACCAGTTACATGAACGTTGATGTTTCTTATCCTTAACTCAATTGAAGGAATCTTTCTTTGCCAACACATTACACACAAATTTCCATCAGAACTTTACGCTAGTGATTTTTTTTTTTTTTTGTCAGTCATGGGGCTTGAACTCTGGGCCTGGACGCTGTCCCTCAGCTCTTCAGCTCAAGGCGAGCGCTCTACCACTTGAGCTACAGCGCCACTTCCTCCATCAGAACTTTAAAACAGTGAAGCATTCCCTTACTTCTGAGGGAAGTTTTTGAGTTCTTCAAGTATCTAAATTCCGTTCAAGATTTCAGGGAATGAAAGAAGTCAGGAAAAGGTAAAAATCCAGTGATCTGTTAAACCAGCCATTATAGATTGTCATAGGTAGAAGATAATTAATGTCACTGAATGCAATGAACATTGGCTGACAATAGGAGGTTAAGAGTAGGTGGGGGGGTAAGGGGGATGGGAGGATGTAGGGGGGTGGGGGGATGGGAAGGGATGGGAAGGGGAAACAAAGGAAGAGGCAACAATGCTTGATAAGAAATGTACTCATTATCTTGCCCATGTAATTGTAACCCCTCTGTATGGTATTTTCACAATTAAAAAAAAAAAAAAGCTTGGAGAATGCCAAATAGAGATGCACTGTTCTAAAGCATTCGGGGAAGCCTTTCTAGACTATTTTCTAAAGAGAAGTAATTGATGACATCACAATTTATTTTTCTTCTGACATTGCTTTCCATGATAGAACTTCAAACTCTTATGTTAGAGCTCTCTTCAATAAAGCATTTCTACATGATTAAATGTGATACCCAGTAAACTATAAGAAAAGCTTTTTTAAAGCATCTTTAAACCTGGAGAGATACGATGTAGTACATAGGTTTATCTTACCGTAAAGCTTTTGGGCCAAAATACATAAAAAGCTCTTTCCCCAAAGTTTCCACACCACTGTAAACATATCCATGAAACAGTCTCAAGAAATTCCAGCTGGAATCATTATTATTCAGTGCAGCAGCCTAGAAGAAAATACAACACACATAAACATACATTCACAGAAACTCTAAACAAATTATAATTTAATTCATAAACATATTTATATTATTTTATGTCCAGGTGCGTTCCAATGAGAAGAATAATCTCCAACAAGTCAAGTAATGAAAATCAGCTGTTTGCAGATATTTTGACAAATTACTATACAGTTATTTGAAAAAGAAAATGGCCAAAAATTGTAACGTGAGAAAAAAAAAGTAATTGGCAATCTGCATTTTTCCCCAGGACCATACAGTTCTGTGCATAGGGAAAGCAAACAGAAAAACAATGTGATTCCTATAGAACTAAAATCAGAATACATAGGTTTCTGTTTTAGAAGTGTAGTCAAGCTCCCTAAAAGAGTATTCAGATAAAAAAAAAAACACAGAAAATGATGGGCAAAATGGGGAGATCTGGGGGAAGAGCTTTCAGTGCATGGATGCACTTTGAAACAAGAAAGGAATGAAAGTTTGAAAACAAAGTAAATGTAGGTGAGAACCTTATGAAGCATCAAGGAAGACCATGAAGTTAACTTGTACCATACTGGCACTCAAGAATGAAAGCCCTTTAGTTTTCGTGGTCCTATGATCAGACACATGACAGACAAAGCTTGGGACTGCCTGAGGAAAGGAATCTGATAGGATCTGCCCTACTCCAACCACAATGTTCAAAATAAAAAATACATAAAGTCATTTTTTCCTTATTAGCCTGGTTAGAATTATATTGTTGAATACTTTAAGAAAATCAAGCTGGACGCCAGTGGCTCACACCTGTAATCCTAGCTACTTAGGAGGCTGAGATCTGAGGATCATGATTCAAAGCCAGTCTGGGCAGGAAACTCCATGAGACTCTTATCTCCAATAACCCACTAGAAAACTGGAAGCGGTCATGTGGCTCAAGCGGTAGAGTGTTTGCCTTGAGCTTAAGAACACAGGGACAGCGCCCAGGCCGAGTTCAAGCCCCACGACGGGCCAAAACCAAACCAAACCAAACAAAACAAAAACAACAAAGAAAATCAAGGAAATGATAAACATAAAAAAAATATATAAAATGCAGGTTCTTCTGTGAGAGAAGGAAAGGGATGGGATTTGGCTTAGATAATTCACAGTTTTCTTATTCTTCAATTGGGCATTATATACACTGGTGTGGTTTTTACTAATTATGCTTTTTTAATGTTATTTAATTTACATTCAAAATTAAGTATAAATTTAATACACATGATAATAATATTTTTCAGTGATTTACAAAAATGTGCATTCTAAATGCATAAGGAGATGTTCACTCCAACCTTTCCTTTTCTAAACTGATCCTTATTTTAAAAAAAGTATTTAATTCAAAGAGATAGTAAGGTGATTTAAAAAACAAACTGAGAACAGATATTCTTCTTCAACAGCAACCATTCAAGTTTGTAACGGCTATAGCCACTGCCTAAAATGCAGGTACTTTTAAATGACTTCACATTCTTCCTGTGCAAAGGAAGTTCAGAACATGAATCACAGGCTTAGAATGATGAATACAACATACAGAAGAGTAATCAAAAATAATATCTTTCCAGCACTACAGAAATCACAAGAACTTGTGGGAGATTATACTATCCAGAATCATAGGTTCATGTGTCACTATGTCCTTAGAATTTCGGCCACTAAATTCTCTCTCTTGGAAAAACTCAAAGGCCCATCAACAATGATCACATCCCTGTAAAACAGGTTTAAGAACTCAATGTGAAAACAAAAAAAAACAAAAACAAAACATACTTTCATATCAGCCTTGTTATAAAGGAAACTTAGGCAGCAAGAGTTTGGCTGCTTTAGCAAAGCAGCCTTTGAGGGGATGGTCAGGGACTTAGCCACACTTCAAGCCAAGTACACATTACAATAGCAGGTTCCAAAGTAGGTTTCCATAACCACCAATTAGTATGTAAAAAGTGTTTATACACCAGTTGGGACAGAGTTAGGATGCTGAGATATATATACAAAGCAGATCTGGATCTATTATGAATAACTTTTGCCTCCATATAGACAAGGTTTAATGTTTTTTGGCTCTCAGACTTACTATTGTTTTGAACTTTCATTTCCTTTTCAAGTTTAATGGCTCAGAGCTTGTTCTACCAGTCCAATGGCAATGGTCCCTTCTACTCACTCTCTCCTTTATATTATAAACCATGTAGAGGCTGGGTGATAAATTACCCCATTTGAAACACACACACACACACACACACCACAAATTTTCCTGTTTAGAAATTAATTAGCTACTAATGACATCCCTGTGATTTAATCTCTCATACACTTTTAATTTTTTATAAGTCAAATCCCAAACGCAAGATCTATCTGAAGAAAACCAAAGACATACAGTGGAAAAGACAAAAAAAACAAACAAGCAAAAAAGAGCCTCTTCAATAATTGATGTTGGGAAACCTGAGCATCCATATGCAGAAAACTAAAAGTAGATCACTGTTTGTCACCGTGTACTACTATCAATTCTAGTTAGATAAAGACCTCAACATCAGACCCCAAACTTTGAAATTACTAGAAGAGAGAATAGGAGAAACATTAGAACATATAGGTATAGATAGAAACTTCTTGAATAGAGTCCCAAGAGCATAACAGAAAGCAGAGAGAGACTTGAATAGTAGAACTACATCAAAATAAAAAGTTTCTGCACAGCTGAGGACAGTTACTAAACTAGAAAGAGAGCCAATAAACTTGGAGACAATCTTTACCAGCAGTATATCAGACAAAGGCCTAATACCCAATATATACAAGGAGCTCAAGAAACTAACCCTTCCCAAACCTAATAAACCAATCACTAATTAGGCAAAGGAGCTAAGCAGAAACTTCTCAGAAGAAGAGGTATGAATGCAAAGAAACACATGAGGAAATGATCATCCCTGGCCAAAAAGGAAATGCAAATCAAAACAACTCTGACATTCCATCTCAGTAAGAATAGTCAAAATTGTGAATTTGAACATCAAATGTTGGTGGGGATGTAGGAAAAAGGGAACCTACTGTACTGTTGGTGGGAATGTAAACTAATATAACCATTCTGGGCAGCTGTCTGGAGGTTCCTCAAAAAACTAAACAGAAACCTTCCCTACAACCCAGTCATACCACTCCTGGGCATCTACCCTAAACATCATGAGCCAGGATATGATAAAGACACCTGCACATCCATGTACTGTTGCTGTACTATTCACAATAATCACAATACGGAAACAGCCCAGATGTCCCACAATAGATGAATGGATCCAAAAAATGTGATACCTATACATGATGTTACATAGTCATTAGAATAAAATAATGTCATTTGCAGGGAAATGGATGGAACTAGAAAAATAAATCATGTTACGTGGAACAAGCCAATCTCAGAAAGACAAATGGCATATGTTTACTCTGATATAAGGAAGTTAGATCTAAGATACACTGAAATATGATAATTATACAGGATTTTAGATGTACAGAATGATACCAAAAGAGTGTATTTTTTGAAGAGAAACACAAAGGCACAATGCCTAAGTGCCTTTTCATATTTATATAAAGTAATATATATACTGAGATGAACTCCAAGGTATAAAAACAAGAGATCTCTTCTTTTCTTTCTTTCCATTTTTAGTTTTTAGTTTTTGATGAGGCTCTCTTCTTTACTTTACCTATGGTATATTCAAGTGAACATCTTTGGGTGGGTTGGGGGGAAGAGTCCAGAACTTGAGGGAAAAAGGGTAAAAAAGTGCAGCAGTGGAGTTCACTGGATTGATGAAAGTGAACTATACAACTTGTGGATAGAGACAGGAGAAAGAGACTGGGAGATAATGAAGGAACAGAAGATGCTGCTGCCTTGTGTAATTGTAGTCCCTCCATATATCACCTCTACGATAACAAAGTGAATTAATAATCTGTCTGATTTGTTAATAATTTTTCCATCAATTGCCACATGCTAAGACAATCTAAGGCCCTGAATCTGACTGCTTCATCCTTTCTTTTGAAATGAGTAAAAATAAATAAATAATAAAAAGTCCCTATTGTCTCATATAAACACTGCTCAATTAAGGGATGTGCTAAGAACTCTATATACTTAGAAAACACTGAGACAAAAAAGTAAAGCGCATTGTTAAGAGATAAACAAGTTTGTCTTTAGACTTGCAAGGATGAAAGGTCCATTAAAAAACATCAAGTAAGCAGACAATCTGAGTTGAATGTTTTGGAGAGATATCTACACTGAAGATGCCAAATTATCCAATAAGCAGCAGAGAAATTGTGTGTAAAGCTGTGATGTCAGATAAGATAAGCAATGGGGTACATGCAGATAAAGAGAAGGGACACAAGAACTGAGGTCTGAGACAGCATAGTTGCTCAGGAAGAGCCTGAAAGGGTGACTGTGAAGTCAGCTAGCAAGGCAGCAGCAAAACCAAGCCAATGTAACTTCCTAGAAGCAAATGACAAATGTATTTTGAGGAAGAGGGCATGCCAAGACTGTTGACACATCAAATAAGATGAAGACAGGCTTAAATACCCAATCCAGCAATGAAGCAGTAATTAGTGACAAGAGTCTAAGGGCAAAAGCCTGTTTGGAGTGGGCTAGAGAGGTAGAGAAGAGGACTCATTAGCAAAGGGGCAGTGTGAACACACAATGCTGCATGGAAGAAAGAAATGGAGGAAAGGGATAACCAGAGAGGCATGGCCCTATGTTGACAAGAAAGATTAAGTACAGAAGACAACATTAATCATACAGGGCAGAGAGAAGTACAGAAGTGCTTTTAATAGGCAAGAAGGAATAGTTAAAGAACACATGTAATTGTGGGTCTTGATAGAAACATGGGTAGTCCATTTACAGTCCCAGGAACGAATGCAGAGTACATGTTACCAATGAGCATGAGTAGTTTTGGTAAAAATTCTCTTGTACTCGATTCAATTTTCTTGAATAAAGTAGGAAACAAGTTCATCAAAAGAAAGAAATACAGATCCAAGTACTCTGGATCCTATCAAGTTATATA